CCGGCCCCCCACCCAGCCCCCCACTGCCTGATCCCACTGGGGCGTGACGGGCGAGTCGACCGGGACAGGACAGCTGCCCATGAGATACCATCGGGGCCACGCCGCCTTGTCAACCATGCAAAAATGCATCGACTATTCGATTAGTCAATTTCCCGATTCGTAAAATAGTGATAGAAATGTAGCCGTGTTAGTCTGGGGTAGCTGAAGCAAAATGCAGGACAAGTGCTACATTGTCCTGCATTTTGCTTCCGATTCGTAAATTCCTTCGTCCCATCACCCCCAGGAAAACTCTCCTGAGCAGCAGTCTTCAATACGTTACATCCCCCTCCCCAGCCTGGCACACCCCCGCCGCCTGCCAAATCCACCTTTCCCGCCTCGGCGTGCCCACACTCCTACTGACTGCTCTTGCAGTAACAGTCACCAACGCTACAATTGCTTTGCACACGTTTCACAGCACAGACATCCGAACCATCCTTTTTAATCTCCGTACTCGGTGCTGTACAGCTATTTTCAGAGAGCTCATCATTGGGCTGAATCTGCAAAGATCAAAGTGATAGCAGAGCATTTATCCCCCTCGGCCACAGGCACATCTGAAGGGAGAAGGTACCCTGTAGTCTGCTCCTTGGAGCAGCCCAGACAAGATGATGAGGGAAAACCTGCACTTTCGTTTTTCCAGTTCAAGTACTGAGGCTTGGTGGTAGCCTAGGATGGTGACTGGAGATATCTGTGAGGCTGAGAATTTGAGGAACTTGTTGACTGTCCATTGATGGGGGTGACATTTTGAACTTGTAGCTGGTTTGACATCAATTTTGTCACTAGCATGGGGCAAAGTTTAATCAGAATAAATGTTAACTGGAAGCAAAAAGGTGATCAAAGGATGTTCTGATTAACAGAAAAAACAACAGATCGTGGACTTTGTTTCTGGCTATTGGTTTGACTTTTGAAGCCAAACAGGAAGATGCAAACAATTCTACTGTGTGATATTAGATGCTCCATTCTTGTTCTTTGGCATTTAATAAATTTCTTTCTGTAATAAATTATTAAATCAGGATTTTCTTGGTCGGGACCTGAGAAAGTGAGATGAGAGGACAGGAAATCAAACAAACAAGCCTTCCCTCGGCATCACTGTTTCATTGTGTTTCAAGAAAGGTGCCACTATTCACATTTTTTAAAGCACGCTTTTTTGATAGCTGTGCTCAACCACTCTCACACAATGGCTCTCTGCTGTTATTCACAGACATGATTAATTTGCTGTTTCCAGCAATCAGAAGATCCGTGCACTAACAGAATGCAACGGGGTATTAGAATAGACATGCCTTAAGATTTTGATGGTCATATCAAGGATAGACCTGAACCAGCCCAATCCACTCAACTGTGGGGAAATCTGGACCACACTCTGTGGCTCAGCCTCTCCCTGGTTACATTCAGGGGTAAGACTCCTTTCAGTATCTGTAACATTTTCAGAAAGACAACAGGGAAATTTGCTCTGAAAGGTCACTGTACAAATGGCTCCATGCAAATTCCATGCTTAAGATCACTCAAGGAGGACAAATATGCTCAGTTTAAGTAACAGTTAAAAAGATCTCAGAGGGGTATCCGTGTTAGTCTATAACTTTAAAAAAAAGTAGTCCTGTAGCACCTTAAAAACTAACACACACACACACACACACACACACACACACACACACACACACAATTATGAGCTTTCTTGGGCAAAACCAACTTCCTCAGATGAGCAGAGTAGAGAAAAAGGGGGGAACTTCACAATGTGTAACAGAAAAAGAAGGGAGGGGGATCAAAAATGATAAGAAGAGGTGAAATTCCAGGTTTTGCCCTGACTGAAGACAGACTAAACATCATCAGCCCAGAGAAGCTGGGGTCCCTCAAAAAAAACCCATCAAGAGACTCTGAGAGCCTGCAATAGTTCTCACCAATAAGCAGGAGGCATTGACTTTCCTTTGCTCCTTAAGACCTTGGAAGGTTGCGTCTACACTGCCCAGTTTGCCTAGCCCAGGCATGAGAACTCCCTAATGGGTTACTAATGCTATGGGTATGACTGTCATAACTGTTGCTGTGCTCACTCCTGTGTCTGGAGAATGCACCCATGGCTCTGTGTGCAGAAGAAATTCTATGGTTCTTTCCCAGTCAGCTGTGTTAACTAAGGGAGAACCTGTCTGTCCTTTGGAGGGAAGGGGATTGTGGGAAGGCATCAGAGGACTATCGGCACTGGATAGATTTTGCCTGTGGGTTGCAGCCCAAGGGCTTGTCTGCATTTACAGCATGGCAAACTGCACCACTGGATAGATTTTGCCTGTGGGTTGCAGCCCGAGGGCTTGTCTACATTCACAGCATGGCAAACTGCACTCTGTAGTGCTTAGTGAAGTTGCTACATACACCAACATGAGGGTTTTTTCCATCAGCAGAGGGACTCCCCTTTCCTTGTGGCCCTATCATACCCAGCGCCTATAAAAGGCAGTAGAGCGGGAGCACCAAGCTGCCTAGAGTGGCTGTAAGGGAAACAGTCTATCAGAAATGGGCTGTGGGGAGCAACCAACCAGGGCCCAGTGGTTAGTATAAAAAGAGCTGCCGGGCCAGAGTGAGATTAGATGCTTTCTGGAGATGAAAGTGGGAGGACTGGGTGCATGACTGTCTGGCTGGAAGAGCAGAAGGACCATGGACAGCTCACTGCAGGCATGAGAGCCCAGGGAAAGCTACCAAAGACCAGGCACCTGGTCAGTGTGGGCAGGCTGAGCTGAGAAAACTGAGACCATAACCTGGGAGCTAGCTGTGGGCTGCAGTGGGGGTGTTGGATCTCATGTCCAGCTCAGGGGAGTAGGGAGAGTTCAGCTCTGGCAGGGATGAACAGGGTGTAGCCTCAAGTGGAAGGGACCCTCAGCTGGTGGTTCCTACACTGCCCATAGGCACATGGAATCCTTCTGATATAATCCACATCAAAAGCTTCTATTCTAACTTTCCATGCTGTGTTGATCAGTGAGCTTGGTTTTGAGGTGAAAACATTGCCAGTGGGGTGTCATTGCCACCCACT